AATATAATATTAATAATTAAAGATATGACAATAACATTATTTACTTACACCTTGTGTTTTATGTCATAAATGTTATAAAACTAATTATCCAAAGTTTTTTCATTTTCTAGAAGTTGAAGGGAAAAAATGTAAAATATTTATCTTCGTGTTGCCATAATTTATGATGAAATATGAATATTCCCCCCATCCAGAGATTTGTAACAAAAAAAGAATTAAGCAAAAATTTTTTTTTTCACAATGAAATTTTATCAAATGATATAATATAATTTTTATTAATTTTTTAATTCAAGTGAAATATATATTACTAAATGTATGTATACATTTGATATCATGTAAACATTATAAAATTTATAGTAGGATTTTCTTTAAAAAAATCAATACAAGTGAAATATGACATTAATCTCTTAATTTAAAAGGTTATTCATACTTTTTATTTAAAAAAAGTTATCATACCTTATTAGAGATTTTATATATTGATATTTCTTTTGTAAGGTCATCATGTAAAAACCTTTTTTGTCAAGTGGTAAAAATCTTTTATATGCATTTACTTGATTTTAATCTATAATATAAGAGATAATTTGTTTTTATCTATAATATTAACGTATGATTTAAATTTAAAATATTATATATTTATTAAAAAAATTATTATTAAATTATTAATATCGTTAAATTTTTTTTTTAGTTGAAAGAAATTAGGATAATTAGAAAAGAAAGATTGGAGATATAAGAAAATAAAACTCCGATGATATAAATAAAGCATTCATATAGCGAACGCACAAGTCACGAGTTGGATTTCAATATCATTGGCCTTTTTTACCAGGGTTGTTTCCTCTAAATTACATAAGATGAGAGGGCTAAATAGGGCATTTTATTTGTTTTCCAGACAAAAAATTAAGAAAAAAGAAAAAGAAAAAACAGAAGAGAAAATCAATCACTTTTATTAGAGAGATAAGGACAAGATTTGTGCCCTGATTAGTGTGGAATTGGTTTTGTGTTTTAGATACAATTTTCCAAGAAAAACAAAACAGATACTGATTTCTTTGTTTTGCACTTTAAATGGGGCCATGGGGGGACCATTAGACACGCAGGGATTCAACACGTAAGAGAGACAGGGACTGGTAACTCCCGTCTTTGCAGGGGCCAGTGTCTTTAATTAATTGGTACAGACTTACCTTTCCTTTAGAATACTGTGGGTGTATGTGTGTTTTTTTCTTTTTTTTCAGTAATGATGTAATGGATGAAAATATGAGACGAAAATGAGGGATGACAAGTGATGTAAAGGAATTAAATTGATAATTACACTATATACATAAATCTTGTATCAATTGTCGTTTTTTATTTTCGTCTCGTGTTTTCGTTTATTGCATCATTACTTTTTTTTTTCAATCTTAATTTATAATAAAAAATAATTATTTTTTAGTTTTTACTTTTCCTTTACCGCACAAAGATAATACTTTTTTATTTTAATTTTAATTATATAATAAAAAATAATTTTTTTATTTTTTATTTTATCTCATTTACGTATTATACAATTTGAATTCAAAATATTTTATTTTCTATAAAAAAGAAATGACTCGAAACTATTTAAGTTGTTTGAGCAATACTGTCCCTTCATTGATTACATGATTAGGTGGCAGATTAGTCTTCTAAACACCGATTACGAAGTGTACGTATTTTTTAATAATTTATTTTAAGTAGATGATTAGAGAAGGATGTAATTGTCAATTGCGTCCCGCAAAATTTGGATGCCACTTTTGTCAATCCATCGCTACCGTCCACGTGCACGTGCATCGGAGACACTTTGACGGTGATTAAAAAAAACAAACCTTTTGATTGTCTTTTCTCAACTTTTACCTAAACTGTCAGATTTTTTAAAATAAAATAATAACAAAAAGTGGAATTGAAATAGAAGTTAGTATGAATCATATGATATTGATTCCTACTAAAAAAAATTATGATAGAGAAGGTGGTAGCTGTCAATCTCCCGTGTTTGTGTGTGTTTTTCTTACAAAAAAATTTTAATTTTTAAATAAATTAATTTTTATATTTTTTATCTCAAAAATATAATAAATATATTTTTTATTTATTCATCAATTTAAT